AAACTATTAGTTTCTTTCTATTTAAAATGGCCTATCTATCTATCTATCTATCTATCTATCTATCTATCTATCTATCTATCTATCTATCTATCTATCTATCTATCTATCTATCTATCTATCTACATTGAAAACCTATCTATAACACCATTTTCTATTTTACCCCGGCTTTTATCTAAATTAAATCTTCCCACCGTTCATAGTATTCTACATACATTCTTAATATATTTTTGACAAAAATTAGTGTTTTTATCATAATAATGGGAGGACAATTTTATTTAGTTCAACGTTGAACTTAGGCTCAGAATAGAGAACTTCAATCTTAATTTGAGTAATAATTATATATTTTTACCTCATGGATTAATCCATTCTTAGTTTGAGTAATAATTATATATTTTTACCTCATGGATTAATCCATTCTTAGTTTGAGTAATAATGAAATAATTTTAGCTGGTGCATTAATCCATTCTTTGTTTGAGTAATAATTAAATAATTTTACCTTATGAATTAATCCATTCTTAATTTGAATAATAATTAAATAATTTTACCTTATGGATTAATCCATTCTTAATTTGAGTAATAACTAAATAATTTTACCTCATGGATTAATCCATTCTTAATTTGAGTAAGAATTAAAAAATTTTACCTCATGGATTAATCCATTCTTAATTTGAATAATAATTAAATAATTTTACCTAATGAATTAATCCAATCTTAATTTGAGTAATAACTAAATAATTTTACCTCATGGATTAACCCATTCTTAATTTGAGTAATAATTAAATAATTTTACCTCATGGATTAATCCATTCTTAATTTGAGTAACAAATAAATGATTTTACCTTGTGTCATCTGCTGGCTTAAAAATAGTATTTTATTCAAAATATACCTCAAATTATAAAAACAATATTAAAATCTATAAATGTATATTAAGTAGTTTAAAAATTATAAATCGTACTTTTATGAGGAAAGTTTAGTTTCCATGCAAAGCTGGGTTTCCAAGTTTAAAGGTTAGATGTAAAATTTGCTCACTAAAATTTTGCAATATAAAGTTAAAACCTTTTGTTCCCACTTATTCTTTTTTGTGGATTTACATATCTGTATACTTCAACTTCTCTACTTCTATTAAATAAAGCGGAAACCATTTTATCTTTCAATACATCTAATATATCTACCTAATCAATTAAATATACAGATACATATTTAAACTAGCTGGAGGAACCGGCATTGCCCTTTATAATATTACTCATAGCTAACCCAACCGTTTACCCGCGCTTTGTTTTTGCCCATGTTTGTAATAAATGCGTTGTAAATTGTCCGCAGCTCTATTTACCTATTTAAATGCCAATTCATCTAACAATGTATTTATCTACCCATAGTCTTAACTTTAACCCTATAAAGGCTGGGGGGTCTAAATCTATGAATAGCCTGGGCGCCCCCCCCCCCCCCCTACTAGAAAAAGGCCTTAGAGAATAGGTGTAGGGTTGAAATGCATGTTCATAGCCTAATTTTTCATGGCCAGCTCAAAGAAAAATAACTTTAATAGTTTGGGTGTTAGGGAGGTGGAAAAAAATGCCTAAAAAGGGTCAAATTTTTTATTTAAATATCTTTTTTGTTTTAAACAAATATCAAAGCCTCACACATGTTTCTACATGCATTTTTCAAGGGCTTTTCAAAAATATAGTTTTAAGATATGTAGCTTTATAGTCACAAAAAAGTTATGGGCTATTTTAGATTTTTTTTCACAGACCGGACTTTTTTACCGCCCTAAACCCTATCCTATAAATCTAAAAAAAATATTTTTTTTAAAAAATTCCTTTAAATTACTATTCATCAAAAGTCACAAAATTTCAAGGTGATAGTGTCAAAAATGAGAGTACTAGGACACTTAAACTACAGGGGGAGGCGCCTGCTTAGGGTTAAAACAAACAAAGAGTGGGAATGCCCTAACGCGAAATATGAAATTGTAAATTTAAGAAAAAACAATTGTAGATGTTTTTATATACAATTCTAGCTTAAGAACCCAGCTTTGCCTGGAAACTATAATTTCTCTATAAAGGTCTACTTGGGTCTACTCAACTTAGACTTTAACCGAGTTTAGAACATTTCTTGGATCTGCTAAGGTCCCCGATCAAAATTGAGGTAAATCGGTCAAAGGGTTCATGAGTTATGATCGAGCATACAGACAAACATACAAAAAAACAGTGATTGCCAATTCATAGATAACAGAATACACGTAAACTTTACAAAATATGCATGTTTGTAAACATACACTAAATGTTTTATATTGTTTGAAGAAAACAAACTATTTCAATTTTGACATTCCTCTCGATATTACAACTACACAGTGGTTTAGCTATTCAGAGCTATCCATCCAGAGCTGGCTAGCTGTCTATATATTACAACTACACAGTGGTTTAGCTAGCTATTCAGAGCTATCAATCCAGAGCTGGCTAGTTGTCTATATATTACAACTACACAGTGGTTTAGCTAGCTATTCAGAGCTATCAATCCAGAGCTGGCTAGTTGTCTATATATTACAACTACACAGTGGTTTAGCTAGTCATTTAGAGCTATCAATCCAGAGCTGGCTAGCTGTCTATATATTACAACTACACAGTGGGTTAGCTAGCTATTCAGAGCTATCAATCCAGAGCTGGCTAGTTGTCTATATATTACAACTACACAGTGGTTTAGCTATCTATTCAGAGCTATCAATCCAGAGCTGGCTAGTTGTCTATATATTACAACTACACAGTGGTTTAGCTAGTCATTCAGAGCTATCCATCCAGAGCTGGCTAGCTGTCTATATACTACAACTACACAGTGGTTTAGCTAGTCATTTAGAGCTATCAATCCAGAGCTGGCTAGCTGTCTATATAGTACAACTACACAGTGGTTTAGCTAGTCATTCAGAGCTATCCATCCAGAGCTGACTAGCTGTCTATATATTACAACTACACAGTGGTTTAGCTAGTCATTCAGAGCTATCCATTCAGAGCTGACTAGCTGTCTACAGATATAGCTGTGCACAAACACATCTATTTCTATACTTTGTCTGTGTGTTTGTATGTTTGCATCCAATGAACGTCCAAAGCTGAACCGATCGGGCCCAAAGTTTGTGAAACAACTCACATGACACTAGGATCATTTTTGCTCAAAATTACACAAATTTGTCTCCAAAAATTTAAGATTTTCATAAAATTTTAAGATAACTTTAATTGACGGATCAAGCAAATTTAAAAGCGTCCACATTGGATATTGAGATTAAACATTTAAGGTTAACAATACTCTGACCTCTGAGCTAGCTACTTGTATTCTAGAGCTGGTTAACTGCATGTTTAGATAGTTTTATGCTTGTGCAGGTTAAATAAAATCAAATTTGAATTATTTGAAGGGAGCATTTTAGGGTTGAATAAAATCTACTTTAAATGTTAATTTTATAATCATAATTATCATTTAAAATTTTAGTTTTTTTTTTATTATCTAATATATCTTTCTATACCTACTCTTTAAAATTCACTTCTTTTTTATTAATCAAATACTTTGTATTATGTCTTACAATTAGGTATGTTTCAATTTCAAGTATAAAATGTATGTATAAAAGTTAGGAGGGCCTGCCAATTAAAAACAACCAGAAATGGTTAGGCTGTAGCCCTTGCTATATTTCAATTATTTATAAATTGTAATATTCAACATGTATATTGTAAACCCGATTTTAGCTGATATATATATATATATATATATATAACTATCTATCTATTTTGTTGGTTATCAGATATTTAAACAAATCTACGATGTTTTTTTTTTCTTTATTTGAGTACGTTTCTTGCAATGGATAAGGTCCGTCCTTATGGCGTACTTAGGGGTACGTACAGTTCGGACGATGGATATTACAGTACAGTGTTTAGAAGAAACGTACTCTTATTTTATGCATATTACTTATGATACAGGGAGACTCATAAAACTGTGGAAAAGGAAGACATCAAGCAATGTGTGTCACATTATTGATATTAAGGAAATTATCTTATCAAAGTTGTAAAATCAACTTATTAAGTGAAATGGACCTGTGTTGTGCTTTAACATCATAAAAAATAGAAGATCTACTTAAATGAATGGTTTAAACTTTGTTAAATTTTCTGAATTGTGATCAATGGATTGATTAATTAAGGACCCATTCATACATATAATTTCTAAAACATGAATTTTCAGTTTAATTACAGGAAAAATATTTTTTTCACTTTTAATAAAATATTTTCTTCTGAAAAACAAGATAATAGGAATTTAATTTCATATATTTTTTTCACAAAATTAAATTTAAATAAAATTTACTCACAAATCTGCAAATTAAAAAGATATTTCTACTTTTTTGAAAATTAAAAAAAGTTGATCCACCAATTCAAACTCTAAAAACTGATTTATTTTTATTTTGGGAAATAAAGTTATTAAAACCATCTTGTAAACTTGTAACACTGATTCCAGATCTACAACCAAAAACTAATTTTTTAACCTAAATGCACTGGTTTAAAAAAATAAAAACTTTAAAAGAATGGACCTAATTTTTTACTCTAAATGCAGGTAGCTAATCATATCTTTTTGTTATAATATTTAGATTCCCCAAGAACTTTTACACATTTTAACCGTTGTATGATAAAAATTGAAAAATGGGCTCAAATTTCAAATTTGAAAAAATTGCCACAATTTTTAATTTTCTCATCCCTATATCTTTGCAACCCGAGACCGAATTTAAATTTCAGCCGCGTCTCAAATATGGCTGGTTCCACTTAAAATCTTATTCAATGCTTCAAGAAGATTAAGCTGGCGCTCAATTGAAACCGGTTTTTGGTGGATTTCAGACGCCGCTCAAATTCATTAAATTCGGACACCGAAGTCATAAGTTTTGATCATCCTTGTCTAATAAGGGCGAGCTGCGTTTAGCTATTTCAATTTCAATTTAATCTCGTTTTGGTCCAAAATTCAACAATCTTAGAACTAGCGGACTGATGATAGATGGCCTTGATCTTAGAACTAGCGGACTGATGATAGATGGCCCTGATCTTAGAACTAGCGGACTGATGATAGATGGCCCTGATCTTAGAACTACCGGACTGATGATAGATGGCCCTGATCTTAGAACTAGCGGAATGATGATAGATGGCCCTAATCTTAAAACTAGCGGACTGATAGATGGCCCTGATCTTAGAACCAGCGGACTGATGATAGATGGCCCTGATCGGTTCCAACTTGACGTGTGTACATGGCCGATATAACAAACAATCCAAATTAATATATATACAGTGATAACCATTCAACTCTGGAATAGAACGACGACATTTAGATTCAAGATATGACTTTACACAGCCAATTGAACATGAGACATAAAAATGGTGCAGTGTGAACAGACCCATTTTACTTACTAAGTGACTTAAAATGTTTATAGTATAACTATTTGCTTTGTAAAGACATTAAATACACTTAATTTTTGCTCTAATGTCGTCTTCCTACTCCACTGTTTTCTGGTTCTAACTGTAAAATACAATATAGCATCAAATATTGTTGTAAATTGTACTGTACATTGTATATATTGTATATTGTATCAGGTGTGGATATCTTTAAACTAATTAACGAAAGATGGAAGAAGACGGAGAGTAATTTCTTTTTATATCATTATTCTGAACAAACAGTAACAGAATATTAACTATAAACAAACTTTTTTTCTCTCACTTTTCTTGCTAAATTTTTCCTTTGTTGTGTTAATTTATTTCCTCTTTTTGTTTTATCTACATTTTTTTTTACATTTTTTTGTCATGTATTGTTACGGTTTTGTCTTGTTGCTATCCCTGTTCCTGTTCCTGTTCCTATCCCATTTCCTATCACTGTTCCTGTTCCTATCCATGTTCCTGTTCCTGTTCCTATCCCTGTTTCTGTTCCTATCCCTGTTCCTGTTCCTATCCAGCTGTTCCTATTCCTATCTCTGTTCCTGTTCATATCCCTGTTCCTGTTCCTGTTCCTGTTCCTATCCCTGTTTCTGTTCCTATCTCTGTTCCTGTGCCTGTTCCTGTTCCTGTTCCTGTTCTTGTTCCTATTCCTGTTCCTGTTACAATCCCTGTTCCTGTTCCTATCCCTGTTCCTGTTCCTATCCCTGTTCCTGTTCCTTTTCCTGTTCCTGTCGCATTAATCTATCTATCTGTCTAGCTATCTAGCTATATATCTATCTATCTATCTATCTATCTATCTATCTATCTATCTATCTATCTATCTATCTATCTATCTATCTATCTATCTATATATCTATCTATCTATCTATCTATCTATCTATCTATCTCTATCTATCTATCTATCTATCTATCTATCTATCTATCTATCTATCTATCTATCTATCTATCTATCTATCTATCTATCTACCTATTTATCTATCTATTAGAGTTTAATCAATCATCTAAGCACCTTATTATCTACGTTTACAATTCCTGTGGAAAGTATGAACAAAACTAAATATATTTTTGAATCAGCAGATAAATAACTTAATATTTGTTGCCTTGAACATAAAATAAACAAGAAAATAACCTAGAGAGAGGCGCGCTTTTAAAATGGGGGGAGGGGAAGGTATGGGAAAATAAGCCCTCCAGAAAAAGTTCTTTAACTATTCCTCCTGAGCTGAAAACTTTAGAATGGTGGATATCGGGATTAATGCTTGATCCTCTCTTTTTGATAATCTCAAGATTAACATAATCTTGCAAGATTATCTTAAAAGTGTATGAAAAACGATAAAATTCAAATTAATATTTAATCATCTGAGAAACTGTAGCAGCCAATCAGAGAAAAGCGGGCAACCAATGAGAGAACAGAAATATTCTCATTGGAGAAAACAATTAAAGGATATCCAAGGAGAGAGAAAAAGAGTGGATTAGGACGAAAATGAAAAGTTTCCACAGTGGATGTTCGGATCAAGAAGTCAGGATTAAAGTTTATCCATTCTAAAGTTCCCAGCTCAGAAAAAATAGTCTTCTTGACAGTTTGTTAAAATCTAAAATTATGTAAACAAACAATTTCCTTTTAAATGTATACAATGGGAAAAGCAAATAAAACATATATTTTTTCCAACCATTTTTTTTATCTATAAAAATACCATGATTTAAAATTTTTCACATAATTTGCTTAAAAATTGAAAAATTTTCTAGATGATTTGATTTTAAATTTTCCTATAAAAGCGCTGAGATCTGGGCACTTTGTTTAGAATATTTACCATGATCAATCATTTAAATGCTAAAAATAACTGATCCATTATTTTTTTGCTACCGGAAGGATGTCACACGAAGAAGAATAAGGATCTAATCAAAAATTTTGAAAAAGTATAAATTTCCCTGTTAAGGACTGTAAGCATAATTTCAAGTCTTCTTTCATGCAAAGATGTCAATACCCGATTTACAACGGTTCTCTTATAACCTTTATCTGATCAAGCATGAATTATATATCAATGTTTATAATTTTCCAAATTGATTATTTTTAATTGTGGGTCCTCTACAAAAGTGACTTGCGCAATTCTACCGCAGGAAAGCATAAAGGAATTATCAGATTTAAAACCAAGATAAACTATAAACATCTTCAAATCAAATTAAATCATATATTTATTAAACTAGGCTTTAAGGGCGCTTCGCGCCCATCTTCTATTTAAATTGGGAACTTGTTTTTTTTGTTTACATTTTAAAACAAAGAAGACAAAAATTTTACGGTTTTAAAAAAAAATTCGCGGATTTTCAAAAATTTAAATTTTTTACAAAATTAAAAACCTTTAAAACACAATTTTTAAAAATTTTTATCATTCATAAACCTTCCCTGTGGTCACGTGATGTCCCACAAAAAAATTGGGCCCGATCGGTAAAGCGTTTTGACGTTTATTGGATACAAACAAACAGACAGACACCCAGACAAACAGACAGACAAGCCAAATTTATATATAGATAAAGATTTCATAAAGTTTGACGATATAAATATCGCAAAAATCTTCCAGAATATTGATCGGATAAAAGTTTCCAAGGTACCATTGTGAATCAGAGAATGCCATTTTTAAAATTTAGGGTCAATCAAAATTACGTTTTTAGGCCCTTTGCAGGGTCAATTTAGTCTTTTTGTTTAGTTTAAACACATTGTAAATTACATTAAATAATCATAATCCTGTAATTTGGGGCTTTTAACCCAAATAGATTCGTCTCTGGTTCAATCTCTTTGCTGAATAGTAGATCGAATAAAAAAATAATTTTCCACGCAAATAAAGCGAAAATCATATTTTTACTTCTTGAATATCACAAAAATGTCAATAATGTAATGAAATAATTATCTAAATATTAAACAATTGTTAAAATGCGACCCAGTACAACTGACTGCCAGGTTTAAAAATAATTGATTTTTCTTTTTTACCAAATTAATTAGAAGAGAATATCAAAGTTTTTTATTCTTTAAAATTTTTTCTAAAAATTCTGAACAAAAAATTGAATAGATATTGTTGTAACTATTCAAAGGAAAGTATTTAATAGGTGAGTTTAGAAAATTATTCAGGCGTTTTTTTTCTAAGGAAATCAATTTTTCTTAATGAGAAACTTAAACTGTTCAAAATTCTGAAAAAATTTATTGTTTTTATTTTAAATTTAAATCTCAAATAAACAGTAAATATTGCAAAAGCAAATTTTTCACTGCATTGAAAAACGCCGATAAAGTTTTTTTTTATGGTGATAACACAAAATACTCTGAAATCTTGAAGCGGTGTGACACAGGCTCTGAAATCTTGAAGCGGTGTGACACAGGCTCGGAAATCTTGAAGCGGTGTGACACAGGCTCGGAAAAGTTGATCGTTTCTATTTCTTTATTTATACATACACTATCATATACATACACTATCATATACATACACTATCATATACATACACTATCATATACATACACTATCATCATATACATACACTATCATATACATACACTATCATATAACACTATCATATACATACACTATCATATACATACACTATCATATACATATACTATCATATAACTTCATGTAAAATCAAAATTATTTTTAAAGAATAAAAATAAACCCTCCCAAGCTTGTACAGAGAATGTTTTTGGGAAATGATATAGATGAATTTTTAACAGTGTCGAGAAAACTGGAGTTTTTTTCCACAATTTTCCCTAGTTTTTGCCATGTAAAGTTTGTTTTAAGATCTATCTATCTATCTATCTATCTATCTATCTATAATCTATGAACATATATTTACGATTTTCCCCCTTTACAGATTTACTCATTTGTGTAGATACTGCAGCTGCCAGGTGTCTTGAGGGCTTCATGTCCCTTTTCTATTAACATTGTTGAAGAATCAACATTTTTTGTGAAAAGGTGAAATTAATCCCTCCAATAAATATTTCAAAATTTGGCCCAGGCCTGGTCTCGAATTTATAAAACTAAATTCATTATTTTAAATGTTTAGAGTCTGGAAGCGTGGTGTCTAAGTTTTTCAGTTTTAATAATTAATCAAGAGAAAATTGTTTACGTCAAATTTGACATTTTTCCTGGGAAAGAAATTCCAGCACGCCTGTTCTTCTCATATCTAATGTTTTTATTTTGTATTCGAATATGCTTGGTAGAACAATTATATTTCAAATCATATGTTTTTTTTTGATAATTTAGCTGGAATTATTTAATCAATAAAAAATTGTTTTAAAATATAAAGAAAACCCAAATATTTAATAGCCTCATTTTTCAACATTTTAAAACTCACAATTAACTAAGTTACAGTAATTAATTATGAATTTATAGGTTTACACATTTTTCTACCTGATGCTTCTGCATGTACAGTTGCTGACTTGGGTTCATATTGTTTTTTAAGTCTCCTTTTAGAAATATCGGGAAGAAATGAAAAAAATGTGGGTTGATTCAAGGTTGTAATGTAAGGAAAGTTATTTCAGAGGTCTACGCATCTTTTGTACTGCCTGACATGGGATCCATCTTTCACATAAAAAATCAATGGAATATTCTGGTCATAGGAAACTATTATGTGAATTATTAAAATTATCAAAATTTATTGCTTTTTACCTCCTCGGATACTAAGCGAACACTGATGCATCTATTCTGTCTTACAAATTCCACCCAGAGAGAACTGGTTTCAATATGTACGTAGAGAATACGCAAATACAATTAACTTTCCTTGCATTACAACCTTGGGTTGATTTATGATTTATGAGTAAGCGTAAATTTAATTAACACTCTATGCATATATGGGAATGCACGAATTACCCATGAAACCTTAATCTCATCAAAAATAGAATATATTAGTGTTTTCCTGACTTGAAAATGGGTCTGTTTTGTAGTTTTGATGATTTCTCCATTTTTTCTTTGTTTTGGCGACTACCCTAAAGTCGTAAGTAAGCTAAAAAGTCTACCGGGTAGTATTCCTGCAAAGCTTTGAACTGCAACCCTCTCTCCTAGTTGAAGAACTCTCCATAATAAGACGAGCTGAGTCTTCTACGTTTATTAACAAGGATTCAGTCTAGCAAAAATAAAAGATTAGAATATCGTAAATCACAGAAAGCTTTAGCAGTTAAATATCAAATAATCCCTAATTTGAATAAGGAAAAAATAACATACTCAGCATTAAAACTGTGACGAAGACTTTTTAAACAAAACATCACATTATTTAAATATAAAAAGTGAATATACCATTTTGGTCCACAGGATACTATAACTTTATTAAACGAAAATCCTTATATACTGTTAATATGAAAGCTTAAACTACGCTGATTATTCTAGAACAAATGCAGTACAGTGCAGTACAACAGCAAGTTACATGATAAAACTGGAAAATATGAGTTTGCCGACTCTTCTTGTTTCTAAGACAACCGCTTCACTCAGGGGCAACACAGTCTTCCTCAGGGATAACTAGTTTATGTCTATTCGCAAAACGAAGTTGCGAAACATTTTTATAGGCAAGAAGTGCATAAGTCACTTTTGCAGAAAAGTCGCAATGAAAACTAAAATGAATAGTTTAAGAAACAAAAACATGGATATCTACTTCATACGTGACCAGAGCGGGAACTTTAGAATGGCGGATATCGGAATTAATGCTTAATCCACTCTTTCTCTTAATCTCCAGATTAAATATTGCTTGTTGTCCTCATGAATTTAATCTCCTGATTAATTAACAGAT